TTGTAGCGGTTTAGAAAAATCTGGAGGATTTATAAGCGGTCGATATTCTTGTATTAGTTTAGCGTACTTATTTTCGATTATAAACATTTTGGGTGTGATAGTATTATCTGAAATTAAAGATCCTTTAGTCGTAATTGTGGTTTAGATGTTTCCTCCGGGCTAGGAAAAAAAAGTGAAGCCAGCGCTTATAGCCTAAAAGTATGAATACAATAAAACACATGCAAATTTTTGTTGGGATCGATTCATACAAAATGCATGTAATATTTCGGTTGGTTTTATATTGCTAAATATTTGCCCAATTTAGTTTAGTTGATTGGTTCTCCTATTAACTTCGTAAAAAAGCGTAAAGTTCGACTGTCTACTAAACTCTACTCGCGATGATCCCACGTGGTTTTCTTAAGGAAGGAATTATTTTTCCCTGTTAAATAGTACATAGAAGGAAAGTTTGAAGTTACCCCTTTTGAACAAACTTTGTTTCATGCATTTTCATCAAGAGACAAAAGAATAGTCGTACATTTAGTGCAGCGCCGCTTTGAAATACGTGTTTTTCAGATTTGCATAAGAATCATTTTATGTAAATCCCTAAATATTTCCTAAATAACGCACTGTACGAAAAAGTTCAATAGAAACCTTTTTTGTAGAGAATTTTATGCTCTGTAACTTTGATTCTTTCAATGTTTTTGAAATTTTCAACATTTTTCAAGTTATTCATGAAATTTTTTTTTGCAGTTTCCGGCCAATTATCAAATTTTATTATAAGAGTACTATGAAAACCACATCAATACTCTTAAGCTTAATCTATCTGAATAGGTGTGAGAAAAAAACTTAAGATACATTTTAATAACACACTACAGTCGTTTAGTTATATTGGGTGTTTATTAACTACTTGTATAAATTTTAAAGAGTGAACCTTTGACTAATTTTAAGGTTTGGTTCTTGAGATACAGAACGTCCATAAAAACTTTTTATTTGGTATTTTGATTATATTTTTGTTCAATAACATGGCAATTTGATGAAATTCGGGAAACTGAAAGTATTTTTTGTGCCGCATTGTATGTCATTTTTGATTAAATATAAACTGTTCTCCATTCAATTTTACGTACTCTTAGTATTTGTCGCTGAAAGCAGCCGTTTTGTAGAAAAACGGGTTCAAAGTTAAACTGCGTTTTTAAGTTGAATTATTAAGAGTTTTTGAAAAACAAGTAAAACATGTGTTGATTGTAATGCGATGTGACTAACTTACAAGACTAAGACTAAACTACTTCTACAAATAAGTTAATAACATATACAATAATTGCTGAAACAACATTTTTTTTGACGTTATGTATCTTAAGAACCAAGCCGTTGCGGACCCATGTTCATATGAATTTTTTATCTTAAAATTAGGCAAAGATTCGCCCTTTAAGGTTTGTACAGGTACTTAATAAACACCCTGTATAGTCCTTTAAAGAAAAAAACCATCAAATATTTATTTCTGGAAATTCGTAAACATTTTTTTATAATCTATATCTATACTAATATTATAAAGAGGAAAGATTTGTATTTTTGTATGTATGTATGTTTGTTACGAATAAACTCAAAAACTACTGGACGGATTTCGATAATTCTTTCACCAATAGAATGCTACATTAACCCTGAGTAACATAGGCTATATTTTTTTCTATACTAATATTATAAAGAGGAAAGATTTGTATTTTTGTATGTATGTATGTTTGTTACGAATAAACTCAAAAACTACTGGACGGATTTCGATAATTCTTTCACTATTAGAATGCTACATTTTCCCTGAGTAACATAGGCTATATTTTTTACTAGAAAAAAATAGAGATCCCTACTAAAACTTCAATAATGTAAACCAAAGTATGAAAAAAATTGCCATAAAATGTCTTTCATCGCATGCGCTGCGGAAACTATGAATGATAGAACAAAAAAATGTCCTACAATATTAAAGAACATATCAATATCTATAAAAAAACTTCGCGGTACCATATGCCCAACTATTATAGTTATGTCATCTATACTAATATTAGGTTTGTTTCTGCAGATCTATCAATCTGTCTTCAAACTATCAGATATACTCGGCCACTTAAGTTGTCACATACTTTCAGCGGGTTTAAGGTCACGAACCAATTGGTCATACATCTTTGATAGTTTCAAATCGGTCCTCAACTGCTGCAGAAACGAAGCTATTATAAAGAGGAAAGATTTGTATTTTGTATGTATGTATGTTTGTTACGAATAAACTCAAAAACTACTGGACAGATTTCGATAATTCTTTCACCACTAGAACATTACCCTGAGTAACATAGGCTATATTTTTTATATCCCAAAATGTTTAAAATAAATGTCCACCCGTGGGACGGGCCGCTAGCTTTTTTGAAGATATCAACTTCATTTTTAACTTCTTTGTTTTTGTCCTCAGATATTTTTGCATAAGTTGTGAACTACTAAAAAAACGCTTATTACGCTCGGCTGTGAAACTATATATTTACTCCCTACTGTGGCCGTGTTTGATATAGCAAAAAGGTAATTATGTACTTCAATAATATTTCCATGATCAATAACCAAAAAAACCAAATTTGTTTTGAAGTAAAGTTTGCAATTTACATTAAACATTGACTCAGCAATCTTACCCTTTAGTAAACATTGACATTGTAATAAATATTTATCTAATAATATCATTTCTTTAGATGCCAAGAAAAGGCAAAAGCAGTAACCCAGGTACAAGAAAATACAAAACTAATAAAAATGAAGACATGATAAAAGCCATTGAGGAGGTTCAGATTGGAATTTCCTTCAAACGAGTTGCTGAAAGATTTGGTATCAATCGTACAACTTTAATGAATCATGTAAAGGGATTCAAATGTAATAAAGTTGGAAGACCACCAGTACTAACAAGGGAAGAGGAAGAATTAGTCGTCCATTATTTGATTAAACTGGGAGAATGGGGTTACGGCTTTGATAGACGACAATTGAAAAGGTGTGTTGAAGATTTCTGCCGAATAATGGATCGACCAAATCCATTTCGAGATGGAACTCCCGGGGATGATTGGTGCCAAATGTTTGAGTTACGCTGGAAAAATGAAATCAGTCGTAGAGTCGCACAAAATTTACCTAAAAATAGAGCTACTGCTGGAACACCTGATGTTATGGAGGATTTTTATAATAAATTGGATATAATTATGACTACATTTAATTTAAAAATAAACCTCAGAATATCTATAATTGTGATGAGACTAGCTTCCAGACGGATGCTGGGCAACAAGAAGTGTTATGCAAACGTGGAAGTAGAAATCCCACAAAGTTGGTCGGCAGTGTAACCAAGGCTTCATATACGGTTCTAATGTGCTGTAACGCAGTTGGTGACTTTGTTCCTATGTTCATTAATTATAAGGGGTTACACCTTTATTCAACATGGTGCAATGATGGTCCTGCTATCAGAATTGAAACAGGAACTTCAACTGCCACTGAAAACCATCCAGACAAGGAAAATATATCGCCAAAAACAGCATTGGAACGATCTCCATTATCAATTATTAAACCAAAAGCAACATAAAACAGCACTAAAGAGAAGAGAACTAAACTGACAAGAAAGTTTGCAGAAAGTCTTACTGAAAAAGAAGTTTACGAAAGACTAAAAAACAGTCCAAGGAAAAAACAGAAAAAAATGCAGTTTCAAAAGGAAGTAGGACTTCTAAAAACAAGAAAAGCAGGAGGATTTCCAGTAGTTCTTCAGAGAGTAACATAAGCATTCATTTGGATAGTGAATATGAATGTGAAGATTTTGAGGAACTAGAAGGTGAAACAAACGAAAGAGACATTGAAGAAATAGAAGAAAATGTTCCGAAGAATGTGCTCAATTAATCTGCAGAGAGTGGAGACAATAATAATAATTCAGAAATATTAAACTCTAATGGGGAAGAATTAGAAGAAAAGCATGCCAAAGAAATTAACATAGGTGACTGGGTGGTTGCTAAATATGGAAATTATTCTTTTGTTGGTATTGTGAAAGAGATAAATGCAGGAGAATTCAGTGTGGAATTTCTTAGACAAAAATCTGTTTATTTCGTATACCTTGACGTGGAAGACATCTTAGACATATCAAGAAATGATATTCTTAAATTACTTAAAGCTCCACAGATTCAAAGAGGAAAACATTTCTTCGATTTGTCTCAATTTGAAAATATTTCGAATTTATGTTAGCCTTTAGTTTTTTTATTGTAATTGGTTCTTTTCTCTTTCTGAAATAAAATTTACTTATATATGTTTATGTTACTATTTGTTATATTTATAACAACTAAGTATTTGTTATGTTTATGTTTATAAGTTTTTAGATTATTCAATAAATGTTTTCTGCACTTCTGAATTTTTTTCCTGAAAAACTAAACTTCTGAGGTGTTACTATTGCCCCTAAGAAAACCATAATTGCCATCTAGTACAATTTCTATGAAGGTGTCAATGTTTATCGAAAGTCTGTGCAACATTGACACCTGACACTAAAAAAAAAAACAATATTTTTGCGAAATTATGCATAACGGACGAAATAACTATAGGCAGTCAAAAATATCATAAGTAGTGGCCCCCAACACACATTAACAGGTAACCAAAATATTTTGTGTCAATGTTTGCCACTTTTACCTTAACGTTGCAATTTTACTACAGGTTTTGATTTATGACAAATAAAATTTAAAATATTTTGGAAAGACAAAACGCGCATAATTTTAGCTGGGACAGTGATTGCAGTGTTATATAAAAGCAAAAATAAAAAGAGGGGCTTTAAAAAATGAAATTGATATCCGCGGGATTTCAGTCATTTAAATTTGAGTGGCGACAATAATTATTTGTACAATTTCATCATTAACGATGCAATAGTTGCATCAATTCGAATACAATTATTGAATAAAAATTGTTAGTGATCCGTTTAAATCAATCTAAATATTCTAAATATGTACAGTGTACAGAGAATGGACTCTTAATAATGCATTCATTTCTTGTTCCAGGTAGCCCTTTTGTTGTGCATAGCCCTAACGGCTATCGTAACAGAAGCTTTCCCGCAAGCAGACACTGATCGTCCCGCAGTATCAGATGAGGCTCTGGAGTCCACACTTAAGGACAAGAGGTACCTTATGAGGCAATTAAAGTGCGCCTTGGGAGAAGCTCCTTGTGATCCCGTAGGTCGTAGGCTGAAAAGTAAGTGGTGTTTGCTCGCAGGTGGACTGCCTCTTTCTCTCTCTAGTGACGAACGGGGCAAATTAATAGATCTGCCTTGCGGAAATTTACCAATGAGTTTTATTAGAGGGGCAGATGCGGATTAATTTATTTTTTCACTTTACGGTGGGCGTGAAATATGAGGGTTGAATGTGTTTTTTATTTTTTATAGCTGCCCTTTATGCTAGGCGTTGAAATTTTAATATGAATTTGAGAAAGGTTTATAACAACTTTTCCAGCGGGCAATTATTTTTGTTTCTGTGGGTTCAGGTTAATATAAAAAAATTATGTAAATTGAAGTAAATGAATTAGTAACACAGAATTAAAAAGTGTATAGGGAGAGGTAAATTTTACGTATATTTAAAATTATTAATATAGATATTTTAGCTTTATTTTGAAAAACTTTACAGGAGTAATTTTTAGAAAGGTCAGCATTTTTAAACAAAAAAATAACAGCTTTGAAAATATCGGAATTAAACAAAAACAACAAAAATCTTCGATTTTCTTTTCAATGAGGACACGTGATGGCGTTAGTTTTGGTGTCTTGGAAGCTACCCCTTAGGCAGGGGCGTAAAATACCCTCAAACTTTAAATGGCACCCTATGTTGAGTGACACCTCATTTTAAAGTTTTTTCAATTCTGCTCAAGACGACATACGAGTTTTTATATTTTGGTTTGAACATGACAATAAAATCATCACTTAAAGAATAAGACAAAATATCAATGAATGAATGAATGTTATTTTATTAAATGTTCAAATTGATTTCCCTCAGCTTTCATACAATAATAAAATCTTTGTTCCACTTCGGAACGAACATTTCGACGCATTTCGGGAGTTATCTGACATTCTTCAACAGTTACAAAAATGCGTAGATTTTTATCACTCTAGTAGCGGCAGTTACGGTGGTTGACTATACCATCCAGTTGGAACGTACATTCATCGGAAAATCAAATTGAGTACAAAAAAATTTGGATTTCTTTGGGCACGATCACTTATTTCTTCATAGAACTGCAAGCGGTGATCAAGATCATCTGCATAAATTTCTTGTACCAAATTAATGTTGTATGGGTGATACTTATGCATTTTTAAGATTCGGCGACAACTAGGTACATAAATAATAATATACTGATAATCAAATTTAGTTCCATTGTGATGTAACCCAGGACAGCTACCTGATTACCCTCGTTACGTACGAGCTGTTCACGTTGATGTTTTCTATTTGCAACCGATACAGTTTCCGAAAATGTATGCATTAAATCCAGGACGTACCGATGGGAAGTGATAGGATGATGATCATTAAAAGTCTGTGCTGCCTGCCCCGCACAGTCATTATTTTTGCAGAACAAACTAATTATTTCCACTTTTTCAGCAATTGTATAAACCATTTTTACGAATTGGAATTCAATTTGTGCTGATTTTACGGGATATTGTCTCGATAAGACAAGACGAGACATTATTGTCTCGTTTAAAGTAAAACAAGTAAAAAAAGTTGAACTTATAGAGTGTAGAGTACGAAGTTTTTGTATTGACAGATAAAAGAAAAATCAAAACAAATTTTTTTATTGAGAAATTGTTGAAGAATGTCGTCAGATAACGTCCGAAATACTTCGAAATGTTCGTTCGGAAGTGGAGTAAAGATTTTATTATTGTATGGAAGCGGAGGGGAAACCAATTTGAACATTTAATAAAATAACATTCTTTCAATCATTGATATCACAGGCCGACAATAAAAAATGTGTGTTTTTGAGACGTGAGAAATTGTTTTTATCATTCAGATTCAGCGGAAAGTTTTACTAAAGATAAGTAGGTTCCCGTCTCAAAAACACACGATTTTCTTTTGTCGGCCTATGTATTTTGTCTTATTCTTTAAGTGATGATTTTGTTGTCAAATCCAAACCAAAATTTAAAAAGTCGTACATCGTCGTGAGCAGTATTGAGAAAGCTCTAAAATGAGGTGTCACTCAACATAAGGTACCAATTAAAGTTTAAGGGTATTTACGCCCCTGCTTAAGGGGTAGCTTTCAAGACACCAAAACTTACACCATCATGTGCCACCCTTGAAAAGAAAATCGACGTGTCCCAAGTCTTTTTTTGTTTTTTTTTTAATTGGCGCACCCTGTAGGTATATGAAATTCTGTTTCTCACGGCACATTATTTAAATTATTGCTAGTCATTATTAATGCATACCTACGACTTTAATTACTACGATTCTACGTAGTGAAAGAAACTCATTAAGAACATACACCCTCAGTAACAAATAAATAATGTAGTTAAACATTTACCTACTTAATCAATTACTGTATCAACAGTTTCTTATATAAGATGAATATGCTTTTTAAAAGTTTTTAACCATATTTTTAATCATCGTTAATTATAGAAGTAGCAATTCCTGTATTATATAAATTATGTACAAATTTTTTGTATAATTGTTTCTAGTTTTGACAAATTTACTACAACTATTATATTTTTACAGCTAAAACCACAGTCAAAGACTAATTTTCTAAACCTTTCCTTATTTATATTACTTAACGCTGAATAACAGAATAAAATAACCTTTAAAACCATACAAAGTGGGTATATTGAAATGATACTTGATAATTACATTTTCGAACACTGATTACTGAGAGTTCGCAATAATATTGTGAATAAATACAATTTTTATCAATGTAGCAGTCAAATTAATTATTTGCTGAAATTTCCTTCCATTACTCGATGAAAATGTTGTTAATCTCGCTTATTAAAGCAAAATATATCACTAATTAGTCAATAAATGAAATCTACACTAATTTATACTTTCTCTAGAAAGTTCGTTTCTCAGTATTATTTTGCATTTTAATTCCTAGAGGTGATTTATTAGCTTAGATATTAAAAAAAGATGGAGATCTGTGTAAATAAGTTTCAAATTGTACAACTGTATGTTCCAACAATCTGCCACGTTAATATACATATAGAGTTTCCCCAAATAGTTTTCTACTAGAATTTTTACTTAACAATTTAGATATCTTACCTACTGATTATTATTGAAACAACAGATTTTTTTGAGGAAAATTACTGACTACAGTTACATTTGAAGCAGTGTGTCTTTTTGAATCACAGACACTTTTAATGTAACCTACGAATTTCGAGATTTTGATATGTTAAAAGTAAATATTAGTAACAAAATAATATAAATTCAGAATTTTAATTAGGAACTAACAAACCTGTCCATTTTTTCTTGTTATAAATAACCTTTACTTTTTTGTTACATAATAAAAAACAACTACATTTTATTCATTAGCGAATAATATATATTTTTTTAGAAAATTAATTTGAATTACTATTCGAAAGGTCAAACTTTGAAGGTATAAAAAATCATTTAGATCAATTACGCTATAAAAGAATTTGCATACTGTATTTGGATAGATATACAGGATGTTCATTTAAATATAGGTTTAGAAATACTTCTTTTTCGATATAGACGACAATTTTTAGATAAATTTTTCTTATGAATGAATAATTTTATGATACACAAGAAAAATTTGGCCTCAATGTAGTCCTTTTTATGGGGATTCTGAAAGATAAAGCAAATAAAGAGATATTTAACAGTTTATACCACCTAACGACAAAATATTGAACGAATTTAGTACTACCAGTAAGGTGGGTAACAAAGCATTAAAAAAATTGTATAGAAATCATACCGGGTGTTCCACATAAAAGTCCTCAGCCTCGTATCTCGGCAACAGAACGAGATATTTTGATTTTGAAAAAAACAGATGATAGAGCTCATCGATGGTTTCCTCGAAGGAGAGCAACTTGATTTTTTTCAGAGCAATTTGAAGATAGCGCTGAGGTCGAAAGAAATTTTTCGTTGGCAGGAACTTTGTAACAAGGTTTATCCGATAGTTTGTTCAATTCTAAACAGTTTTTGCCAAATTAATATTTTTTAACAACTTAATTGTTTCAGAGATATCGGGCTCTTCACTTAGTGAGGCCCAAACTCAAGTGTATTTTAGAGTTTCGAATTATTACCTTACACAATGGAACAATAATTTTCCAAGTCAATTTAACAGTTTTTTTAATGAATAGTGAAATAAAAATATGTATTTCTGTAAAACAAGTTGACAATTGTATGTTATGAGAGCTTGAAATTTGGCTAATTTAAGTGAAAATATGGTTCAATACACTAATAAAGAAAAATACGATATGCTTGTCATTTATGGTGAATGCAGAAAAAATTCTAGAGCTGTAGAGATTATATTCTGCACGATTCCCTAACAGATGGGCTTTATCATCTGTTTCCTTCAAATATCTTTTTCCGGTGCCGAGAGCCGAGATACGAGATTAAGGACTTTTATGTGGAACACCCAGTATATGTGCTTTATTTAAAAATGGGCAAGAGTATTATAACATAATTTTTATAAAATTCTATAAGAGACTTTTTCTTAATAGAGAACCACACAGTGGTTCCATGGTAATCTTGACTTTGTAGAATCATTAAATAAACCAAAATATTGCAAACTATCAAAGCAAAGGTATTTGTATATATTGTAACCAGAATAAAGTGAGAAATTGAAAAAATGACAAACATACTTTCGTTTCGCAAACGACGTTTGATTTATATCTTTGGAATTTTTTTATATTACTTTAAAACTTCAACAAAGTTTCTTCGTTTCTTCTTACCATGTTTTCCTAGACAGAAAGGAAAAAAATAAGAGATGTAGAATATTAGGTAGGTGACTATATACGTATGTTTATAAATAAAAAGGTAAAGCTGCATTGCATATCAAATTTGAATAATATAGCCATTTTCTTGTAATAAAATAAATATAATTCTTATAAAATTAACACCTTGTATCTCGAAAACGAAACCTTATGGACACTTCTTTCTAGCAATTTGGAATCCGCCCTTAAAGCGTGGCCAAATGTTTTAGTTACACTCTACAAGGTGTCACCTAACGAATTTTACATACTTCAAGGGTATAATTTAGAACCTAAATGGTGTCGATTTAACCAAACTTGCTTAAACGAAAAATATCACAAAAAAGTTACAGGGTGTAAAAGTTCCTTTTTTTATTTCTTGTTTTCTCCTTAACTCAGAACCCAGTTCAGCGATTTGAGCAAAATTTGCTGTTGCTTAGTTTCTCTTCATGAAGTGATTATGTTCCTATTAGGTTAAATCAAACAGGACGTTCATTTTACTACAACCCTTCATGAATATTCTTCTGTAACTTTTTTTTACGTTTAAATTTGTACACGCAACTATCAGAAATAGAAAGACAATTTTATTCTACACAAAAAAATAAAATAAAAAAGAAACTTTAACACGTAACTTTTTCTGCGACATTTTTCGTCTAAACAAGTTTGGTTAAAGCGACACCATTTGGGTTCTAGATTATAACTTTGAAGTATGTAACATTCATTAGGTGTCATCCTTTATATTTTTTAAATAAATTGAAGAGAAATAAATTTATTTGAATTTTGGAATTTTTAACATGACTGAATAAACAAGGATAAGGTTTTCAAACAGATACATAAAATAATTTTATTTCTTTAGTATAAACACATTTTAAATCTAAAATCATATTTATACAGGGTGTTGCATCACGAGAGGGACATGGCTTAATGGGAGATAGAGGACATCTAGTGTAACTAGGATCGCCTATAGAAATAACTTCTTGGCCATTCTTTATTGAGATACAGGGTGATTTATGATTTTTGGTCAAAACTGCTTTATGTCATAACTTTGGTAGGGAATGGAATAATGGGTTCATATTTGGTAGGGTTAATGCACTCACGATACTTCATGTATGCATGTATGACAGCAAAAAAATCCAGGTCCGGACTGCAAAAATTGTAAATTTTTTGTGCAAGTCTAGAAAACAACACTCTGTATGTATTTTTTTGAAATTCCCATACGATATTCGGAAAGAGCATAAAAAAGTGATTTTAAAGAC